CTTTGAGAGATAAAGAATTCTTGTATTCTGTCTTTGAGAGATAAAGAATTCTTGTATTCTGTCTTTGAGAGATAAAGAATTCTTGTATTCTGTCTTTGAGAGATGAAGAATTCTTGTATTGTCTTTGAGAGATAAAGAATTCTTGTATTCTGTCTTTGAGAGATGAAGAATTCTTGTATTCAGTCTTTGAGAGATAAAGAATTCTTATATTCTGTCTTTGAGAGATGAACAAGAGACCATATACAGACACAGCAACAAGGAAACAGCGGTCGTGTATTAAGAACTGTTTATTACATAGCACAGCAACGGTGTTCTCACACACCAGCACGCACGCACGCACGCACGCACGCACGCACGCACGCACGCACGCGTCCTCGTAGGTGTGACATGATAATCTCAAGCAAATAAATAAGTATTAAAACAGTGACGATCGAGCGAGCTCGTGTCTGTCTCTCCGTCTCTCACTATAATATATATATATATATATATATATATACTGTATATATACGGTGTCTATTTACAAAGGTTTATGGCACGCATGTGTGCATGATAGTCAAGTAATGTATATATATATATACTACACGCATCTCTCTCCACATTAGCACAGGTGTCATGTCGCATTACCAGGTGACATCTCACTGTCACAGCTGAGATGTCACGGTGACAAGTTGACACGTCACGGTGACAGCTGACACGCCACTGTGACAGTTGACACGTCCCTGTGACAACTGACACGTCACGGTGACAGTTGACACGTCACGGTGACAGTTGACACGCCACGGTGACAGTTGACACGTCACGGTGACAGTTGACACGCCACGGTGACAGTTGACACGCCACGGTGACAGTTGACACGACACGGTGACAACTTACACGTTACACACTCAGACGCCACAGCACAATTCCTGCATTCTTCATCAAACTAACATTTCATCTCACGCTTCTTTTATATTACCGTGTAGTAACCCCCTGATCTTCCTTCTCTACCAGCTATCTTCTCTATGCAGCACATTAATCTTCTGTGACACTGTTGTCAACCCCCCTCTGTGACACTGTTATCAACCCCCCTCTGTGACACTGTTGTCAACCCCTTCTCGTTTTCTCGGCTTCTTCCCCTCGAAG